ATCAGGTGAAATAGCACGTACTAGTTTTCAACATTGTATGGGGGGTGGGGGGCGAGGTTACGCAGGTGAAGTTGTATTCGCGTCTGGCGTGTACGCAAAAGCGCCAAAAGTGCAAATCTGTCCCAAGACTTTTGTCCATGATTGTAGTTCTTTTGATGCCAGAGTGTCTTTGCTCCTTCGAGGATTAACGCGGTTGAGAAATAAGTTTGGAAACTAAAACTCGTAAAAAAAAAACCTCAGATACAAGCACAACGCAAAGGTAATATGTTATATCTACTGTCATATGGTTATTCTTCAGCCAGTTATCTAAAAGAGATTCCATGAGGTTCAACATTGGCTGCTGTTATTCTCTTGCTGCTAATATTCAGTCGACCTTTTACGAACGCAATTTTTGTTTTTATTGCATTCAGCCATGAGTCTTCCTTCTCCTTTGTAATGTCAATATTCAGGCGAAATCTCACTTTGCCATTTTTCAAGTATTCTTGTTTCTTCGTAGTACTTTTTGTTTCCAACTTCTTCGCTCTGAATATTGAACAGGTTGAGGAATAGCTCAGCGTTGTTTAATTTCCATTTTGTTTGAACCATCAGTACGCTCATAAATGTGAATAATTTTAAATATCCTACCAAAATCCGTCTGTGTTCACAGGCTAACCAAAATCTCCTCTAACGAGATTTGTTGTCGTCGGCATGCTGAGATAAATGGAAACAGGTAGCTCGTTGATCGCAGGCATCAGCTTTGTTATTTTTTTAGTTAGCGGCGAAATTTGAATGTTCCGTGAAGTGACGAAGACAATTCATCGTTTTTGTTCTTCCAAAGGCATCTTCTAAAGTGTTAATATAAGTTTTATTTTCACCGTATTTTTACTATTTACCTTATATTATTCTACGTAAATGACTCCGTTGTTTTTACGAAAAAAAACGCTATTTCTCCGCGACTTCTCTGTTATGCGACCGTTATTTCGGCTATCCACCACTGCACAAAAAAGCCAACAAAGTGCTTCAAAGGTGGCGTGTCCTTGCCTTTTATAGGATTGCTTCGTGTTTAAGAAATTTCATTAAACAGTCTATTAATAGTTGCGAACAATTGGTAACTCTAGATTTCGTTAATTATCAAATCGTGCCGCTCGACAACTGAGTTTACCGGTAGATAGAAGGATTATCGCTGAACATGCTTTATGAGATGTTTTCAACTCAGTTTAATTAGCTCGCTGTTGAGTTTCTGTCGAGATGTTATTCATTTTTCTGCATGTCTGATAACTTAATCAGCCCCACAGTACCTAAACAGGTGAGCGAGTGTTAGGCGCGTGTGAGGCGCGAGTTTCGAGCGCGCCCGGCGGAGAGGTTGCATGAATGAATGAAAGACTTTATTGAAGTGTCAATAGCACTTAGCTTAAAAACCTAATTGCGGACACTACAAATTGGGTTCGTATATCACTCGCGTGAGGACCCCTACAATTTGGTTCCTAATTTTCCTCTTTCATCTGCCAGCAGGCGATTTAATATGGAGCTCCCAGACAGACTGCGCAATAAGTTAAATGTTTCAAAGCATGGTGCTGATATAACGGGAATGGAACCAAACTGATATTGCGATAGAACATCTTACGTTAAGTTGTTTTTTTGTAAATAGTGTGCAATAATAAAAAAAGAAACTGAAAAACTGAAAAAACTGAACATTGGCCAAGTGATGACTCATATATAAAGAAGGATAATGCTGGCTAGAAAATAATAATTTAAAATAATTCCTTAAACAAAACAAAACTTTAAAAAACCACAATCCAAGTTTTTTTTTTTTTTAACGTAACTGAAGTTCATTTTAAGCATAAACAGGTAATAAGTAAAAGTTGGCCGACAGTCACGTTCCATGCATTGACAAATCAAACAACACTGAATTATCCCATGTCAATATTACAAGTTCTTTACAATCCCACTCCTCTTACTTGCGACTTAACAATTTTAATTAGCGGGCACCGTAAAATATAAAATCTTGCCTAGAATAAGGCGAAACCAAAACACGATTTTCAAGCACTAAAGAACCTCTAGCCGAGTCTCATACTGCGGAAATAGCCACAAACGCGCTGGGGGGCGAAGGAAAACCCGGGCGGGGAGCTGCATAGCATGCAACTGTTTCCTTCTCGAAAGTGGGCGTGAAAGCTGTCGGCAGGGATCGGAGCAAAACAAAACAAAATGTTCTTTAAAGAAGCAATATCAGAATAACTCGTTCATGCTCTGTGTACGACACAAGCTCAGAGAAAGACGTCTGGGCAGGAAATGCTTATGCTGAAATAAGACAGTGTGAAAAAACAAGTCGAAGACGGGAACCCTGCATCCGAGGGCCTCCGGAATTGTGGGGTCATGCAAATTTAAATTAAGCAGTTTGAAACGCAACCTTTCGTTCTCTGAGAGTAAAAGGATAGAAAACAACATGATATAATTTCAGTTTTGTTTGAACTATTTAATTTGCTCCTTGGGGCTTTTAAGTTTGCTTAGACTTCTCAGTTGGACATGGACTTGGAAATAAGAATTACGCTCGGTGTAGCGACACCAGTTATTCCCCAAGCTTGTCGGTAAATCGTCCTCGCACGAGCCGAAGTTTCATCGAGGATGTTTCTATAAGCAGGTGCTTCTAATGATGGTGTTTGAAACCAATGGCAACTGACACATTTGACGTATATTTTCATCGGCAAACAATTCAAACGACGTCGTTAGCTAGCACGCAAACGTATTTAGTCTACACCATGTCCATAAAATTATCACTTTGTAGTCTTCATTATTTTCGCTCGACTCTGTTCTCCTTCAGAGAAGAGCGATTGTTTTTCACTTGCACCTATAGCCACTATAAAACCGACGTTGATTTGCATTTAATGCAAAAAGTAAGATGAATTAAACGAACTACGAGATAAATTACATGTAACATAATTCGTATTGCTAAATGGGTGCATTCAGTTCAAAATTGGTCCGAGGCTGAAGTTAACATATGTACCTTAAAAATTGCTTATTACTCACATTTCTTGTTCATTGAGAATGAGGATGAGGTTTAACGTCAATTAATGTTTGTTCTGCCAAAAAAATACGGGTTCATATAATGCCAGGTATCACTAAGCATGAGATAAATAAAGCCAAAATATAATTGAAACTGTGTAAAGCTTGATATTTACACGACCGAATAATGCAAGAATCTATCACTTTTGAATTTAAAAACATTCAATTATTGATCGAGAGGATATTAAGTAAGCCTTTCAAATTTACTGATCGATCAGTACCTGGTTCAGTCGACAGAATGTCCTGTATAATCGATTCCACTGCATGACGAGATCAAGAGAAAAAGTAAAGTTTTATACTCGATTAACAGTAGACTACCCAAAAAATTCTACAGGTAACTTTAAGTCCCGATCCTTGGTCATTTGGAAGAAAAAACAAATTGGTGTGTTCAAGAAACGACTAAAGGCAAGCGGTCTAAACTGTGTCACTGTTTTAACTAGTTTGGTTAATTTCCAAGTAAAATATATAACGAAGTCAAGGATCTTCGATGTCGTCTCAATACGGCCACAAGTTAAGCTACTTTGCACGACCTGCCAGTTTCGTTTCATGCCGTGGGGCTTTTTAGAAAACCAAACAAAAACTACAAGAAGATCACTTCTTGTGAAACTTTAGTCATGCTCTGTATTTCAGTTGAGCGAGTCATCAGGCACAAACTCAATGAAGGAAACGGAAAACCTAATACAACCTAGCTCGAACAGTTAACATCGGCAAACTAATTGCTTCTCGGCAGTTAATGGTGTATTACGTTTCCTTAAAGCTAAAAACGTCCTTTTTTAGCACGAACTAATCAGTAAATGTTCTCACTCTTATACAACAAAAGTGGTTTATAACAAGGTAAAAAATTCAAAAACTTAGCACTGGGTTTCGAAATCCAAATTGTGGCGCGTTTTTTCCCTTTATTTTATTTCACTCTATTTTTTGTGACATAATTTCCATCAGTAAATGTAGATAGTTAATAGAAAGTGCATTTCTCGATAGCGAAATTGTTTTTGTTTTGGTCTGTTTTGTGTCTTTTTTTGGGTTGTTATAGATTTGTTTTTAACGATAGTAAGGTGTGAACACTAGCTTATAGCGGAGGCTTGTGTTGAGATGATTGTTGTTTTAAAATATATTACATCCGTGGTCAGTTTGCTAGTTTCAGTATCTTCGAATACAAACGAACAAAAACAAGAAATAATAATTTTTGCTAAAGATACTAAAGATAAACTGATAAGCAATAATCTAGGTTGCAAAGTTAAACTGAGTTCGGTTCAGTTTCATAAACCCGTGTTAAATCTTTCAATTTTACGCTGAGCGGGCATAAACATATAATTCCTCAATAATTTCAGTATACATTGTTAACTCCTTCTTCAGTCTGTGTTTACTCCTTCACAGTGAGAGGTGAATAAGCTATATAATGGTGAGAGATTATCGGAAACTCTGAAATTATAGAACTGATCAGATATCAACCTATCGCCGTTTTCTGTGCAACAAAAATTTTTATACTATGTTCTGTCGAAAGCACTGTGTAATTTCGTTTATTGTGGCTTAGAAACGACTTACAATAACCAGCGAGTTGCTGTATTTCGCGTTATTTAGTTGGCGATAGCGTTTCCAAAGTTGGATGTATATAAACATTGCTTAACCAGGATAAACTACACAAAACAAGAGAAGTCTATAAAGCGGCTAGATCGATCGATTCTGTCTTGCTTTGTCCAAACGAATCGAAATTCTCAATTCAGTTTCAGTAACCTCTTGACTAATTATTGCCAAAGTAAGTCGATCAATGTTTCAAAATTTAAGTATTTAATAGGACACTCGTTTGGAAGGAGTTGAACTTAACGAGAATTATTGACCGAGAAACCCGCAGGCCGTTAGCTTCGTCGCGCTGAGGCCACGAAAGCTCAATTTGTTCACAGAAAATATTAAGACTTCCCCTTTATTGTTTGTTATAGAAAAAGGTGCAACAGTGTAAAACCTACCTGAGGCATAATCAGAAGGGACAGCGCAAGCGAATGACAACTTTATTAACTACAAATAAAAGTGTAAAAAGCAGTCAGTACTCGCGATTTCTGGTCGGTCAGGACACCCCCAAAAGCAACTACATACAATATAAAGTGTTCGTTCGCACGGCAACCAGCAAACGTATATTATTAAAACTTACCTCTGAGGAGAGCACGAAAAACAAAACTCCGAAGAATTTAAAATGCATGTTTCTTCACGTTGTCATTTTAGGGCTTCGAAGTCTCCCGTTGTTTTCAAGATGAAACGTATAAGTCTGTAAGCTGAAAATATCGACAAAGCACTGTAGGCCGGTTTCACATCCGTCTTATTGCACTTCTTTTCGCTCAGCAGTTTTAAGCCTTCACCAGTAGTCAATTTGCTGCAATTTGATTGGCTGAGACACCATCAATATTTAACGGTATTTTCTTTGCTGCCTTGAAGTAACATCTGCCTTTTTTCAACGACCTGTAGGGTTATGAAATGGCGTGGAATTGTATTAATTTTCACTCAGCCTTGAAGCGATTACGTCGGGAGAAAAACGACGTTTATTTTCCTTTTTTTTATTTCAGTAACAAAGCTGAATTTTACCAAGCACATTTTAGCCTGATTATTCTTGTTTTAATCAACGGTTTGCTTTGTTGACTTTAAGAAGTTAAACTTTTTCAATCATCTTAAAATAATTAAAGCACGATGGTGCTCGAAAATTTAGAGTGCGCGCGGAGAAACATGGCGCATTGCCTCGTATTAAGATGCATTTCGAAACTTATGTCTTACTGTGTTAGAGTATCGATAGCAACTCCTCAGCTATATAAGGTCTCTAATTATATAGACAAATTCTCAGGTAGCAATTACACATTCACGATTGTAATGCATAATTTATAACTTTTAATATTCTGAAAACGAAAAATAAATTTCTTTTCTCTCTGTCAGTAGAGTNAAAAAAAAACCTCAGATACAAGCACAACGCAAAGGTAATATGTTATATCTACTGTCATATGGTTATTCTTCAGCCAGTTATCTAAAAGAGATTCCATGAGGTTCAACATTGGCTGCTGTTATTCTCTTGCTGCTAATATTCAGTCGACCTTTTACGAACGCAATTTTTGTTTTTATTGCATTCAGCCATGAGTCTTCCTTCTCCTTTGTAATGTCAATATTCAGGCGAAATCTCACTTTGCCATTTTTCAAGTATTCTTGTTTCTTCGTAGTACTTTTTGTTTCCAACTTCTTCGCTCTGAATATTGAACAGGTTGAGGAATAGCTCAGCGTTGTTTAATTTCCATTTTGTTTGAACCATCAGTACGCTCATAAATGTGAATAATTTTAAATATCCTACCAAAATCCGTCTGTGTTCACAGGCTAACCAAAATCTCCTCTAACGAGATTTGTTGTCGTCGGCATGCTGAGATAAATGGAAACAGGTAGCTCGTTGATCGCAGGCATCAGCTTTGTTATTTTTTTAGTTAGCGGCGAAATTTGAATGTTCCGTGAAGTGACGAAGACAATTCATCGTTTTTGTTCTTCCAAAGGCATCTTCTAAAGTGTTAATATAAGTTTTATTTTCACCGTATTTTTACTATTTACCTTATATTATTCTACGTAAATGACTCCGTTGTTTTTACGAAAAAAAACGCTATTTCTCCGCGACTTCTCTGTTATGCGACCGTTATTTCGGCTATCCACCACTGCACAAAAAAGCCAACAAAGTGCTTCAAAGGTGGCGTGTCCTTGCCTTTTATAGGATTGCTTCGTGTTTAAGAAATTTCATTAAACAGTCTATTAATAGTTGCGAACAATTGGTAACTCTAGATTTCGTTAATTATCAAATCGTGCCGCTCGACAACTGAGTTTACCGGTAGATAGAAGGATTATCGCTGAACATGCTTTATGAGATGTTTTCAACTCAGTTTAATTAGCTCGCTGTTGAGTTTCTGTCGAGATGTTATTCATTTTTCTGCATGTCTGATAACTTAATCAGCCCCACAGTACCTAAACAGGTGAGCGAGTGTTAGGCGCGTGTGAGGCGCGAGTTTCGAGCGCGCCCGGCGGAGAGGTTGCATGAATGAATGAAAGACTTTATTGAAGTGTCAATAGCACTTAGCTTAAAAACCTAATTGCGGACACTACAAATTGGGTTCGTATATCACTCGCGTGAGGACCCCTACAATTTGGTTCCTAATTTTCCTCTTTCATCTGCCAGCAGGCGATTTAATATGGAGCTCCCAGACAGACTGCGCAATAAGTTAAATGTTTCAAAGCATGGTGCTGATATAACGGGAATGGAACCAAACTGATATTGCGATAGAACATCTTACGTTAAGTTGTTTTTTTGTAAATAGTGTGCAATAATAAAAAAAGAAACTGAAAAACTGAAAAAACTGAACATTGGCCAAGTGATGACTCATATATAAAGAAGGATAATGCTGGCTAGAAAATAATAATTTAAAATAATTCCTTAAACAAAACAAAACTTTAAAAAACCACAATCCAAGTTTTTTTTTTTTTTTAACGTAACTGAAGTTCATTTTAAGCATAAACAGGTAATAAGTAAAAGTTGGCCGACAGTCACGTTCCATGCATTGACAAATCAAACAACACTGAATTATCCCATGTCAATATTACAAGTTCTTTACAATCCCACTCCTCTTACTTGCGACTTAACAATTTTAATTAGCGGGCACCGTAAAATATAAAATCTTGCCTAGAATAAGGCGAAACCAAAACACGATTTTCAAGCACTAAAGAACCTCTAGCCGAGTCTCATACTGCGGAAATAGCCACAAACGCGCTGGGGGGCGAAGGAAAACCCGGGCGGGGAGCTGCATAGCATGCAACTGTTTCCTTCTCGAAAGTGGGCGTGAAAGCTGTCGGCAGGGATCGGAGCAAAACAAAACAAAATGTTCTTTAAAGAAGCAATATCAGAATAACTCGTTCATGCTCTGTGTACGACACAAGCTCAGAGAAAGACGTCTGGGCAGGAAATGCTTATGCTGAAATAAGACAGTGTGAAAAAACAAGTCGAAGACGGGAACCCTGCATCCGAGGGCCTCCGGAATTGTGGGGTCATGCAAATTTAAATTAAGCAGTTTGAAACGCAACCTTTCGTTCTCTGAGAGTAAAAGGATAGAAAACAACATGATATAATTTCAGTTTTGTTTGAACTATTTAATTTGCTCCTTGGGGCTTTTAAGTTTGCTTAGACTTCTCAGTTGGACATGGACTTGGAAATAAGAATTACGCTCGGTGTAGCGACACCAGTTATTCCCCAAGCTTGTCGGTAAATCGTCCTCGCACGAGCCGAAGTTTCATCGAGGATGTTTCTATAAGCAGGTGCTTCTAATGATGGTGTTTGAAACCAATGGCAACTGACACATTTGACGTATATTTTCATCGGCAAACAATTCAAACGACGTCGTTAGCTAGCACGCAAACGTATTTAGTCTACACCATGTCCATAAAATTATCACTTTGTAGTCTTCATTATTTTCGCTCGACTCTGTTCTCCTTCAGAGAAGAGCGATTGTTTTTCACTTGCACCTATAGCCACTATAAAACCGACGTTGATTTGCATTTAATGCAAAAAGTAAGATGAATTAAACGAACTACGAGATAAATTACATGTAACATAATTCGTATTGCTAAATGGGTGCATTCAGTTCAAAATTGGTCCGAGGCTGAAGTTAACATATGTACCTTAAAAATTGCTTATTACTCACATTTCTTGTTCATTGAGAATGAGGATGAGGTTTAACGTCAATTAATGTTTGTTCTGCCAAAAAAATACGGGTTCATATAATGCCAGGTATCACTAAGCATGAGATAAATAAAGCCAAAATATAATTGAAACTGTGTAAAGCTTGATATTTACACGACCGAATAATGCAAGAATCTATCACTTTTGAATTTAAAAACATTCAATTATTGATCGAGAGGATATTAAGTAAGCCTTTCAAATTTACTGATCGATCAGTACCTGGTTCAGTCGACAGAATGTCCTGTATAATCGATTCCACTGCATGACGAGATCAAGAGAAAAAGTAAAGTTTTATACTCGATTAACAGTAGACTACCCAAAAAATTCTACAGGTAACTTTAAGTCCCGATCCTTGGTCATTTGGAAGAAAAAACAAATTGGTGTGTTCAAGAAACGACTAAAGGCAAGCGGTCTAAACTGTGTCACTGTTTTAACTAGTTTGGTTAATTTCCAAGTAAAATATATAACGAAGTCAAGGATCTTCGATGTCGTCTCAATACGGCCACAAGTTAAGCTACTTTGCACGACCTGCCAGTTTCGTTTCATGCCGTGGGGCTTTTTAGAAAACCAAACAAAAACTACAAGAAGATCACTTCTTGTGAAACTTTAGTCATGCTCTGTATTTCAGTTGAGCGAGTCATCAGGCACAAACTCAATGAAGGAAACGGAAAACCTAATACAACCTAGCTCGAACAGTTAACATCGGCAAACTAATTGCTTCTCGGCAGTTAATGGTGTATTACGTTTCCTTAAAGCTAAAAACGTCCTTTTTTAGCACGAACTAATCAGTAAATGTTCTCACTCTTATACAACAAAAGTGGTTTATAACAAGGTAAAAAATTCAAAAACTTAGCACTGGGTTTCGAAATCCAAATTGTGGCGCGTTTTTTCCCTTTATTTTATTTCACTCTATTTTTTGTGACATAATTTCCATCAGTAAATGTAGATAGTTAATAGAAAGTGCATTTCTCGATAGCGAAATTGTTTTTGTTTTGGTCTGTTTTGTGTCTTTTTTTGGGTTGTTATAGATTTGTTTTTAACGATAGTAAGGTGTGAACACTAGCTTATAGCGGAGGCTTGTGTTGAGATGATTGTTGTTTTAAAATATATTACATCCGTGGTCAGTTTGCTAGTTTCAGTATCTTCGAATACAAACGAACAAAAACAAGAAATAATAATTTTTGCTAAAGATACTAAAGATAAACTGATAAGCAATAATCTAGGTTGCAAAGTTAAACTGAGTTCGGTTCAGTTTCATAAACCCGTGTTAAATCTTTCAATTTTACGCTGAGCGGGCATAAACATATAATTCCTCAATAATTTCAGTATACATTGTTAACTCCTTCTTCAGTCTGTGTTTACTCCTTCACAGTGAGAGGTGAATAAGCTATATAATGGTGAGAGATTATCGGAAACTCTGAAATTATAGAACTGATCAGATATCAACCTATCGCCGTTTTCTGTGCAACAAAAATTTTTATACTATGTTCTGTCGAAAGCACTGTGTAATTTCGTTTATTGTGGCTTAGAAACGACTTACAATAACCAGCGAGTTGCTGTATTTCGCGTTATTTAGTTGGCGATAGCGTTTCCAAAGTTGGATGTATATAAACATTGCTTAACCAGGATAAACTACACAAAACAAGAGAAGTCTATAAAGCGGCTAGATCGATCGATTCTGTCTTGCTTTGTCCAAACGAATCGAAATTCTCAATTCAGTTTCAGTAACCTCTTGACTAATTATTGCCAAAGTAAGTCGATCAATGTTTCAAAATTTAAGTATTTAATAGGACACTCGTTTGGAAGGAGTTGAACTTAACGAGAATTATTGACCGAGAAACCCGCAGGCCGTTAGCTTCGTCGCGCTGAGGCCACGAAAGCTCAATTTGTTCACAGAAAATATTAAGACTTCCCCTTTATTGTTTGTTATAGAAAAAGGTGCAACAGTGTAAAACCTACCTGAGGCATAATCAGAAGGGACAGCGCAAGCGAATGACAACTTTATTAACTACAAATAAAAGTGTAAAAAGCAGTCAGTACTCGCGATTTCTGGTCGGTCAGGACACCCCCAAAAGCAACTACATACAATATAAAGTGTTCGTTCGCACGGCAACCAGCAAACGTATATTATTAAAACTTACCTCTGAGGAGAGCACGAAAAACAAAACTCCGAAGAATTTAAAATGCATGTTTCTTCACGTTGTCATTTTAGGGCTTCGAAGTCTCCCGTTGTTTTCAAGATGAAACGTATAAGTCTGTAAGCTGAAAATATCGACAAAGCACTGTAGGCCGGTTTCACATCCGTCTTATTGCACTTCTTTTCGCTCAGCAGTTTTAAGCCTTCACCAGTAGTCAATTTGCTGCAATTTGATTGGCTGAGACACCATCAATATTTAACGGTATTTTCTTTGCTGCCTTGAAGTAACATCTGCCTTTTTTCAACGACCTGTAGGGTTATGAAATGGCGTGGAATTGTATTAATTTTCACTCAGCCTTGAAGCGATTACGTCGGGAGAAAAACGACGTTTATTTTCCTTTTTTTTATTTCAGTAACAAAGCTGAATTTTACCAAGCACATTTTAGCCTGATTATTCTTGTTTTAATCAACGGTTTGCTTTGTTGACTTTAAGAAGTTAAACTTTTTCAATCATCTTAAAATAATTAAAGCACGATGGTGCTCGAAAATTTAGAGTGCGCGCGGAGAAACATGGCGCATTGCCTCGTATTAAGATGCATTTCGAAACTTATGTCTTACTGTGTTAGAGTATCGATAGCAACTCCTCAGCTATATAAGGTCTCTAATTATATAGACAAATTCTCAGGTAGCAATTACACATTCACGATTGTAATGCATAATTTATAACTTTTAATATTCTGAAAACGAAAAATAAATTTCTTTTCTCTCTGTCAGTAGAGTTTGCGTGCCGAAAATTATCTCCTTACTTTCAACAGTTTTTGCACTATTTCTTATATAATACAATTTAAATACTGGAAGTCTTGACATGTCTCGATCTGTTAAGTTGTCCATAGTGAAAAAAAGAGTCCTGATGGCTGAGTGCTATTTAGAATTGCAAATGATTTGTGTGCCTTTTCTAAGCCTTCTTCGCTGAACCAACACCGAAAAATCTCATTTTAACTCGGTCCTTGCTTCAATATTTTTGGATTAAGATAATAAGCTTATATATACCGCAAAAAGTAAATAAATGGTGTTTTCTCCAAAGATAACGAGTTCAGTTCTTTGTCGTTCTGTCCCGTTATTCGTGAACTTGGAGAATGATATATTTCCTGTTTGAGGCCGAACAGGTGACTGCTTTTTCAAGAAGTTCGAAAGAATAATTAATCAATTAAATTAAACGACTTGAGTTGCTTAGGCAATATGGTGATGTTGTTAAGTGCTCTTAGCCACGTGACGAAACTTTTTTACATGTTTACTCAGTTCGGTACTACTCAGCGCCTTCGCATTAACAAAATTTGGTGCTAATTTTGTTATTTTCATCCCAGTGGAAAACGTGGGTCGGCGACTTTATTGAAATGTTGTATAACCAACTGGGGGAATTTTTCCTGAGTTTGCAGCGTGGACAGAATTTCACTTTGAGCCACCTGCTCTGAACAGTGTTAACAAAGTTTAATAAAAAAAATGTCTTTCAACGTTTCATGAGGAAATTTTTATGATCCGCCATAAAGGAAGAGTAAATTCGGTACAGTCATCTATCAACAGCATTTTCACACACTTCAGTAATCTGGCTTACAACATTTCAATAAAATGATCGATGTTAGCTGATATAGCTACATATAAGCGAGAGACCAGTCGGTCGACATGTTGAATTATTAGTATTACGAGGTAGGCGGTAATAATATAATATATTATGCATAGGGCCATTCTTTCTCGAATTTCGATGCCTAATTTTATGTTTTAGAATCACAAAAGAATACTAAACGAATCGGTTCAGTTCGTCCAATCTGACTTTACTGCATAAAAAATTATGATGTTGACTATAACAAAGATCAATATTTGGAGTAATGAAAGCAATTAAGCAACACTCGCTGCACAAGCTTTTGAGTTGTGTATTCAGACTGAAATGGCATATTAAAGATGATAATGATAATGACGACGATAACATTGACGACGACGACGACGACGATGATGACGACGGCAACGACGGCGACGACGGCGACGACGACGGCAACGGCGACGGCGACGACGAGGACGAGGACGAGGACGAGGACAAGGACGAGCTGAGGACGAGGACGAGGACGAGGACGACGACGGCGATGATGATGATATTAACTGGGAGGAACGATTCCTCGAAACTGGCACTCTACATTTCAACCCTTTTACCTGCCTGTTAACAATTATCTGAAAGTCTCAAATATACAATGCCAAATTCTGCACACTGATAGGAAATATTGCATCGTGTTTTTCTTCCTTCTTCTTCTTTTTCGCTCTCTATTTTCAAGAACAAAATTGTTAAAAAAATGTCATAAATACATTTACTCAGTACAGAGCGGTTTTCAATTGAGTGTCGTAAAACCAAAACCAAAACCAAAGTAATTCTCTAATTACTTTCGACACTCAACTGAAAACCGCTCTATCATGTGCTGTATGCGTAATTTAAATCGCAAATAATCCTAGACTAAAAATACTCTGTTAACGTATTTATGTGAGTTTGAATACAATTGACCCGACTTGACTCAGCGACTTGCTGCATCTCACCACCGCGCGCAATTGTTGCTTGCGAAACTGCTAAAAATAGAATCACTGTCTACTTCCGTATTAAACGTTGTACGAAAAACGTCAACGAGTGTACGTTCGGAGTGTCCGCTATCGGCAACAGTGCAAGCGTAAGACTGAGAGAAGATCAGACTTATAGAAGTAGAACTATCAACAATTTTCTACCTCCTAGCTACCCCGGCATTGACCAAACATTACATTTTCTTTATTTATGTTTGGTCTTTCTCTTCGGGAGCAGACGCCGCGTTAAACAGCATCTTTAGAGATATTGACGCCGTTTTCAGACATTTTGATTACGTAATAGATGTTAGACATTAGAATTTGCCTTGCCGCGTAACGACATATATACTAATGATCACTAATGATGCGTGCGAGGAAGTGGGCAGCGGCCTGTGACCACGAAGAGTAGAAATAAAGTGTTGCGTTTGATGTTGTGTACAAACTCGCAGAGAAATGTTGCCTAAATGACCACAAGTGAGTGAACGGGAAGTTTCGAGGATATTAGGCAAGGTTACTGGTCTCTTTAGACTCACTGTAGCCATTGTCGCTATTCACAATTATATTTGAAAAATTGCTGACTCACAACTTGAACGTAAACATTGAGTTGAACATTCAGGTGAGTTGATCAAATTTGGGACTGGAACGAGTGAAGTAATGTGGCCCAAGAACGAGGTCGAAAAACAGTGAAAACAAGATGGCGGGCGTCGAGCCAGAGAAGAGGACGTATGTAGACTTAAGAGAAAAGCTTAACAAGAATTCAGCACCAAACAGAAAACACCTCTGGGAGAATAGGAAGCGGAAACGTGAAGAAAATTCTGGTTCTTACCGTCATCATTCCACGTACGACAGAGAAGTCGAATTGCAAAAAGTACACCAGGGAATTCGTCAGCGAATTTTGTTCGACAGAGAAGAATGCGAGAAAATTGAAGAAAAAATCGACGAAGTTGTCCAGAATGCAAACGAAGGCACTTACAAAAGCCGGACAGTTGATAGAGCACCATTACGTGTCAAGTATTTCTTTGGAGAGGGCTACACGTATGGTAAACAACTTGCCGAGCGGGGTCCCGGACAAGAAAGATTATTTCCTCGAGGAGAAGTCGACGAAATTCCTGAGTGGATTTTCGAGTTGGTTGTTTCGCGCCTCGAAAAGGCCGGAATTGTGCCAAAAGGTTTTGTGAACAGTGCTGTAATCAACGACTATCAACCGGGCGGTTGTATCGTATCGCACATCGACCCTCCGCATATTTTCGATCGCCCTATTGTATCTTGCTCGTTTTTCAGTGAATCGTCGCTGAGTTTTGGTTGTAAATTCAGCTTTAAGCCCATCCGTACCTCAACTCCAGTCTTAACTCTTCCTCTACCTCGTGGCTGTGTCACAACGTTAAGGTAAGTCGGATAGCTTTTTGCTCGAAGCATTTTAGCAAAGAAATATTATGCCATTTGGTGCAAAATCTTAGTGACGAACTGCGACACTTGCCCGTGCATGTATGCAAATTGAGATTCGGATTCCTTAAGTAAACAATACGCCGGGATTAGAGTAAGCGTAAAAACAGTTTTGTAGACCCACTTTTCTGCGGTAATTTCTTATCTTAGATAAAAGAAAGCTCGACTTACAGTTTTTGCAAATGCATGTTTCTGCAAGCAGTTTTGATCTTGGATATTTATAAAGAAAAAAAAAGAAAAGAAAAAAGAGAAAACTAGATATAAGCTTATATATGAGACAGTCAATCCACGCTACATGAAAACATAATGCAAAGAAAAGTGTGTGTAATGCAGAGTGTTTTTCTTATTGCATGATTATGCTAACTATCTTACTTATAAAGCAAAAGTGAGGTCTTAACAAAAAAATCTCCTAAGTTTATGCAATAGCTAGGTCAGTACAATGAGACCTAAGTTTGAGATTTTCCCATAAAGACAGAACTTTCAAATTTTCTGCTCCTTTAAAATATGTCTTGCATCAATGGATATATGTTCAATCTCGTTCCCAACCGCTAAACACTATTTAAGGAATAGAAAACATGTACCGTGTTTCTATCGAGTTTTGGTATAAATCTACTAGCGTTCTATCATGAATGCCATTCGCTGATTGGCATACATAGTAGCAAGCCCTTGTAAACAAATTGACAACTGCTTCCTGGCATTTTGGAGGTGTCTGTGAAGAGGATTTAGATTATGTTATGAACGACTAGTTGATTTATATTAAAACAATTAGATTATTCGCTCTCAATTTCTATTTGTGATAGTTGATAAGGGCGCAACCCGAGTCAACTATCACACAATAGAAATCTCGAGCCCATAATCTAATTGTTTAATAGAAACATGATTGGAAGTTTGGGAGAACTAGAAATGCTGTGGGAACACGAGCCGCAGGCAAGTGTTTCCACAGCTTTTTCGAGTTCTCCCAAACTTTCACAGGTGCTTGTATAATTCGATAGAAACACAGAGGACATGTTTTCTATTTCTTTTAGAAAACACCGCACTGAAAAAAAAGAAAAACAGCTTGGTTACTTTGACCATCAAAATGTAAATTCTCTTTGCTCGTGCCATCATTACATCAACAACTTGTGCTAGTTCTGTGTTTCTATTGAGTTTTAGTATAAATAAACTAGCATTTTATCACAAATGGCATTCGCTGATTGGCTACGCTACTCACTATCTATTCTGTTGTGGACAGTGAGTAGCATAGCAGTCTGTGCTTGTGAACAAAATGATGGCTGCTTCCTTGCGTTTTTGAAGTGTCTGTTAAGAGGATTTAGATAAAGTTTTGAATGACTAGTAGATTTATACTAAAACAATTACATGTAGATTATTCATTCTTGATTTATATGCATGATAGTTGACTTGGGCTATGCCCTTGTCAACTATCGCAAGATAGAAATCTCAAGCTCATAATCTAATTGTTTAATAGAAACATGATTTTTAACCAATCAGCGTGCATATTTTCTTAGGGCTGTTTTCTAATTGTCTTTAGAGAAATGATCTATAGAATCTCCTATCAAAATATTCCTTTTTTTTGGCTAGGCTTAGATTGGAAATCAAAACTAATTTTTCTGTTATTTTCTTCTATCAATGTTTCTAAGAATCCAATGGCTGAAAGTCAGTTAAGGTTGTGCATGCAGCCAACATTGTTTTATTCTTCAAATTCTGACTTGTCAGGGTGATGACCTTTGAACATCACTCTCTTTTTGCAGCTGTTGCAGTTTTGATTAAAAGTGCAATGGTTTTGAAACATCTCTTACTCTTTTGTTAGCAGAACAGAAGTGTCCCTCCTAGGGAGTTGTGTGAGAATAATAAGCTGTAATTTGATGTTAGTTTTAGTTGTAATGAGTTGTGCAGATGTTTTCACCTGCTCATATGCATTTTCATTTTTACTGCTTGTCCATTATGTCTTGGAGCATTTCTCTGTAAGATACAGTATAGTAGTAATATTGACCTTGTTGATGAACAAAAGAAAAATGTCAATCGATATTGCTTGTATTTTTTACATCAAGATCTCACTTTAGCTCAATATCAACCATTTGTACTGCATGATACTCATCAAGCATTTTTATGTTTATTTCTGTTAGTGGATATGCCGCAGATGATATTACACATTGCATAAGGCCTCAAGATGTTAAGGCAAGAAGAGCTGTCATTATTGTGAGAAGGTATGTTTACCGACAGGAACACCTCATTCAAATTATTTTATATGTAGATTTTTGGGACAATATTTACAAAGTTGCTGTAATTCCAGTAAACGGTTCAAACTCTTCTTTAACATACTTTATTATATGGCTGTGTCTCATAAGGACTGGGAACTACCGAATTCACGAATTTGATTGGCTGAAATCGATATTAACCGTGGTCTAGATTTTCCCATCTGGACCGGCATCTAGACTGGTTTCATTTTGCGTTGAAAAAGTAGCAAACTAAAATACAAAAATGATCACCGTTTTCTTTTGTTTTCTTCTCAATCATTTATGGAAGTGTCAAAAAGCCTGACGACGAAAAAAAAAAAAGTAAAGAGGACGAGCAAATTTTGCCAGGTTTAAGTTAAGCCCATCTCCGTTTGCAAGCAAACCAGTTCTATTGAACGAATTAAAGTTTTCTTCTTTGCCATATAATAAACATCTTATTAACCGAGCTAAGACGGTCTGTATGGTAGAATCTTGACCTCGGTCGTCTGTGCAGACCTCACTGTGTTCGGTCTGTACTCACAACCTCGGTCAAGATTCTCCCATACAGACCTCCTACCTGGTTAATAAGAGCTAAGTAAATTAATATTTGAAAAATTGCTGACTCACAACTTGACCTAAATATTGATTTGAATGTCGCTCTGCACTTGGGACTGGAAGGAGTGATGTAGTCTGCTGCAAGAACGAGGTCTATAGTAATGTCATCCCTTGCTTGAAAAAAAGGCATCTTCAGGTGATGTGAAATGCTCTTTGTCACTGGATGGTACTACGTGCTTATTGATCTGGTTGGATGTTTTTTGTTTTACTGATTTTACTGATCATGAAGACTCCAGAAAGTATTCATGAAGCCATTTGTGTCCAATCTGTTGATTTGATTTTCAAAGACTAAAATTGCTATTAAGGGAGCAGGCTTTTACCCAAGATTTGAAAAGTAAGTGTCCAAAATGTGCTATACATGTAGGGACTGCTCAAATGAACCATTTCTAAGGCAACATATGAAAAATAAAACAATTTTCTTTTAAAAAGTGGTCGTCCACAGGACACCTGGACACCCATCTGGCTAAAAACCTGTTAGGGAGGCATGTTTGAGAGATCCAACTAAATTGTAACCCTGGCATGGAGCACTACACTGTATGTTGCGTTCTTGGGTAAGACACTTAACTCTCACAGTGCCTCTATCCACGCGAATTTTTAATTCAAGGGGCTTATAAACATGGTCAATAATTATTATGCTGTACATTAGTTGCATAATTGGAACCTGAGTCCAGTTTGCTAGAGAGTTACATGTATTGGACTACCTGTAGCACTCCATCCAGGGGGAGTAGTAATATTCTTTGGTGTTTTATGAGTTGAGTGCTTCCAGTACTGACTAGCTCTTGGCTCTTAACAGACTCTACATGTAAGAGCTTTTTTCTAAAACATGCATTGTGCTACAAGTACATTACATGTAACAAGATGCCTTCATGTCAGGTTTGGTTGCTTATCTTCAACAAACTTGAATATTTTCAGAGTATATCCTGATGCACCAAGACTAGAGCCATCAATAAATGGTGGTACAAAGGAACAAGAAGTTGACAGTGACGGAGAGAGTGATGACGACAATGATGATGATGAAGAGCCTTCATCTGCCAAGAAGAAACGTGTGGTTTTAAAGAGAAATTTCAGACGGCACAGCCAAGAGACAAAGAATACATCTGATCCAAAGGGAGAGTGATTGACATGTCAATTACCTGCAGTCCAGTAGTGGGTATTAATGCAAAGTATGTGCGAGAAGCTTAGCAGTAGTTTTAACTTCACATCAGTTTGCCTGTTGAAGAATGTTCATATCCTCTGATGAATCACAGACATCCATATGATGTGTATTGTGCATAACTTCCCTGTCATATTGAACCAGATAGTTGTAGTCAGTGCTCATTGTTGTTTGTTCATGTTACTGTATTTTAACTCCATATTTTTTCTTTAATTCAGTCCTGATCTGTTCATCTCTCCAACTTTTTAATTCATAAGGGGTTTATGAAAAGGTCAATTGTACGTAATATATCAAACACGAAAGACTGTGTTTGACCACGTTTCCAAACACTGAGAAGAGAGTTGAAAATGCGATGTTCAGCAGAGTATTTTTGATGAGCTTTGAGGTGTTTGGAAATGTGGTCAAACACTGTCTTGAGTGTTTGATATGTCTACTCAATCAAAACTAAAACTAAGGAGAAAATGGACAAATAAAATCGTAAAAATCTATGCTAATTAAGATCAGATATCCAAACACGGTCACGGTCATGATTTCCTTTGTTTAAACTTGATGAATTATTAATGAGTTTGAGAAATTAGTTGCATGTACTTGATACTTAATTTGCTAAGCATATGTAGTAATGATCTATACTTGGTTTTACAACTCTGACAACCCTCACCATGCTGTAAAGTTCTGATAAGCACTCCTGAAAACAAGCCAGTCAAGATCCTACAGGCAATATTCCCCTCTCAGAAAAAGTACATACTGATAAAATGAAAGCACACAGACATACATTTGTATGCCTTTCAATAACCCTGCACTGAAGAGCTTGCTCTGTCTGTCATCATTTGTCATCAGAGAGTTTTACAGCATGCCTTAAATTGTTTTTGTGTGGTCCAAAACTGCTTAGATAGAGGTTTCAATAAGCTTTGTAACACTAGAGCATAAGGATATGACATGCGGCAGAAAATAAGCAACTCACATAAAAATAGCTTTTGAGACAGTACCACTACTATATCAAATATATCAATGAAGCAGCTGGGCAGAGCCCTGTTCAAAGCTGGTCAATTTGCCTAGTGCCTAGCCCTTAATGAAACCCCTGTCATTTGCAAAGTTGCATCTGAATATGAGCCCAAACTGTTTTTAATGCAAAATTCCTTTCATGGACACTGCCCCCCCCCCCCCTTTTCCTCTTACTCAAGAAAAAGAAGGACCAACAAAATTAATAATTAAGAACCATTTAAGTAAACCTGGGGCTTATTATCAGAATCTTACAGGACCCGAGTTAATTTACACATATCTGCCTACATGTACAGAAATCTAAATTAATCAGCAGCAATTTTAGCTATGAGTAATGCAGTCTAGTGTTGTTGTGAAGCCTCAAATGTGAACTGTTGTCCTGCAGGCGGTACACATGCTATGCACCATGGTGGTGTCCATGCATGAAAATGCTTTACAAAGAAATAATAATTATAACTAGATGATTTCATAGCTCTTTTGAAACATATTGATACAAGAAGTTACTATCACTCAAAACAGCTTTCTTATATCTACCACCATACCAGCTTATTGACTTTTTAATCAACTTGTTGATAACTTTATCAAGGGTTTTCAATAGCCTGCTTAAAAGATAGTGCCTAGTGATGACTTCATTAACATTCAAAGTTAATAATCAGTGTTACACTTGACATCACAAACTGGTTTCTTTTTTGTTATTCACTGGTAAACAAACATTTCACCTTTGAAAAAGTGTTAGCAACTTTACCCAAGGCTCTGCATAAACCTCTCTTATTTCACATGGTTTCTCTACTAGATGCATGTTAGGGAGGTTGTTAGAAAGCTGTGCCTGTCACTAAGCTAAGAGTGACTTAATTTGATTTAAAAAGCTTGCTTTGATGCATTAAATACATGTAACCCCAAGCCCTATTAGTCAATACTCTAATCCAAGGAACTGTTTTGCCTTCATGGTCAAACCCAGCTCAATAGGCCATATTCGTATTCTCGGTATTGGACTGGAACTAGCTTGCAATAGAGGCTCATGCGGGGGAATATCATTAAAAAGAGATTAATGTCATTTACATTTGAAAAGACTCTGCGCATTAGCCTCAGTTGCAAGCTAGTTCCAGTCCAAAACTGAGCATACGAATATGGCCTATTCAGTCAAATGAAGACTGTCAAACAGTGCTTTCAGTGATGTGGGACAGTTTGCAATATAATGCACTGTCTGATTGGAAGTCTGTGGATAAAAGCAGCGAGTGTGACCATTCTAATGAAAGCTATTAAGCAGCGATTTGTGTTAGCAATATTTAAGCCCTTAACTCTTAGGAGTAGAAGGGTTGATTAAGTTGTAAATAGACTATTCGTGCGATGTTCACTTTAACTCAAGCTCTTTCTTGGCGAAAATGTAGTCTTTTATAGTGATTGTTAATTGGCATTGAAGGAGAGAGTTTGGTATATCCTATGCTGTAAATAGTGCACTGAAAGATGGTTAGTAATGTTTATGCATAGATAAATGAACTTTTTCAAGAAGGAGTATTTGGGTTTCTTGAGTTTCACAGATAAGTGTATTAATAATGAAGGCTATTAAATACAATTTACTGTTGTATGACTATTTCAATTGTTAAAGTAAAGTTCTGTAATTTACAACCCCTCCCCTCTCCCCCTGGTAGCCTTAGCCTTCAACAAAAACGCTCTTTGTGCTTGTCATCGCTTGTCATGTAATCTATCCCCAGTAACATCACGTGACGAACCCAGGAGGCGGCTGCCTAACATAACTCTCTGACCGACTATCAGGTAAACAGGCAGTCTGATTGGTTACAAGTACAGGGGTGGTCTAACAAAATATAGACGGCAAAAGGAGCTAGTTAATCTTTGTCTCTGTTGAGTTTCTGAAGACAGAGTTTTTGTTGTTTGATGGCCACGCACTCTATAGAATTAAAAAGTTGGCCCCGGGCTTCGTCCCTTGCCAACTATTAGACCCCGTCATGTCTCCCGGTTTTGTACTGTCGTCCAGTTCTCTCGCGATTCTACTCGCGCGTTCAACGATCGAATAAAAATACAAGAAAATAGAGGGCTGTGAGTAGTCTAACCAACTATCACTCCAGCTTGCTGTCGTCCTGTTAATCAGTATACACCGTTCTTCTTCTGTTGTAAATTCGCGAATCTGCCCGCTGGTGTAGTCTTCGAGGGTACAGTAAACACCCAAGTATACCCCCATGCATGAGCAGCCTACGGGAGAGCTGTCATGGACTGTGGCACGCGCTGTCGCAGTGCAAGAGAGCATGCTGGCATGGTAACGTATGACAAAGTAGTGAATCTGCTAAACCTAGAGATGATGCAGGTTCTTATTTTTTGAGGCGTTTTTCGCACAAAGAACCTGACATTTCTATTTTTATTTGTTTTTTGGATTTTGTTTTAGTTGCAGGCTTCTGAGTGAGCGTTTCTGGACAAGCTTGCCCACGTTTTCTATATCTGAAAAAGGTCCCGGGGGGGTACTCCCCTATATGGGCTATATAGGTTTTTGCGGCCCCAAAGGATAGGGTTTTTCAGCCGCTTTGGTCATAAATAGGGTATCGATTTTGGCCATTTTGGTTATAAATTGGGTATGGTTTTAGCACTGTAGTTTTGAATTGGGTATGTTTCTTAGAAGAAGCTACCTTTTCATCATCGATACAACCGTCAACAAAAGCCCTTCATAACTTATGTTTAGGGCAACTGTGCCAGCCAAAACGATCATAAATCGGCTATCGAATTTTTGATCAGGTCATAAATAGGGTAGCAAAAAAAGCAGATTTTCTGGAAGTACCCCTTCGGAGAAAAAGGTAAAGTCTTGCATACGAGCCCAAGCGGCCTATCAGACCGGAGCTTATCCCGAAGCGACTAGGAGTATTTCTACTCCCCCCTGAATGGGATGCAAATCCATCGCAGGGTTACCCCCAGCATAACGGCGCCGGTACCAGAAGCCCTTCATCACCCTACCGGCACCCCTTTATACACCTGGGTGGAGAGAGCCACTATGAGAGTCAAGTATCTTTCCCAAGAACACAACACAATGTCCATGGCAAGGGCGCGAACCCGGACCGCTCGATTCGAAGAGGACTGAGCACGCTAACCATGAGGCGCCTGCGCCTCCCACCGTTTTCTATGTGAGCGGTTAGTCACCTCGACAAGGCCCTGTTGAGTATTCGCTCAATGAAACAGACTTAGTGTTAAAATCAGTAGCGAAAGAAAATTTTAAGTGGAAAGAGGAAGGCAATTTCGGTGGATGGCATTGAACATTGACCGAGAAAATTAACGTCAATTACTGCTGAATCTGACTCGTACACAGTCGCTGTCTGGTCTGGGTGGATCTAGCCGTGGGCGTCTGGAGCGAGAATAATATATTTGATGGCGCGAGAGGCGTATTGAGAAGGTGTACTGACATTTTCTTTTCTGAATCAAAATATTCTGAAGTATATTAATCCTTCAGTTTAAGTGGATGGCTGGAAAGTAGTTCAGTATAAACAATACCCCATGTTTATTAGAACAAAGTGACGATTTCTTTTTATAATCCATCAAATATTTTCGCTCGCGCACGATTG